ATAAAAAATATCATCTTTTATATAAACTAAAATATTATATTAAGAACTATATCTTTAAAATTAATATTTAAAGAGTTCGCCAAGAATAAGTTGATAATTTTTTCATTAAAAATTTTTTCTAAATTAGTCTATTTTTATCTTATAAGTAATTAAGACTTTTTTTTATAATATAAAATTAAATTCTGCTATAAGATAATCCTTATTTTTAAATATTATCAAAAAATATTTTATTTAAATATGTTAAAAATTAAAAAAAGTAGATCATAACCATATTTATGATAATTTTCCAGGCAAATTTGCATGGAAAAGCCTACAGTTTAAGGGATAATAAATTTTAAAAATTGAAGTTCAAATAATAGTAAATAAATAACAATATATTTATCTTGAATAAGATTTTTTTTGTATAAGAGTTCTTCTATTATGTTTATCTTTTTTTTTCTCACTATAGTTTTGATGTTGTTAGAAGTTTGCTTTCTTCTTGCCAAAACCTTTATAAAAAAAGATTGATTTATTTGTACCAATTAAAAAAAAATTAAATTACCTTTTAATCTCCCTACTATCTACACATATCGATGTAGCTATCTTTTCAAGATTTAATATAAAGATTTGATATATCTTCTGCAATAGTGTAGTATCATATCCTCCTTTTTAAAATAGCTTTCTAACAACATATTAGTCTTTATAGAACAATCATGATTGTAATCTGGCCAAAGGTATAAAAAATACTAAAACAAAGAATTTTTAAAATTTTTACTAACCAACTCAATTTGCAAACTAATATTTTTAAAAATAAAATACAATAGTCTCTGCAATGACTAAATTTGCAATTCCAGTAGTAACTTGAAGCTTCTTTGTATCTATAAGAGTAGTCTTTTATTAATCAAATTCTTTTGATCTTAGAACCATTTAACAAATTAAAATTGATAGAATATTTGATCTCTAAGCCATTAATCATTCAAATTTTTTGTAAACCATTCTTTAAGCACATTAGCTAAAGAGTATGATATATATTACAAAATATAAAACTTTGTAAAAAGAGAATAACTGATTTTATTAAAAAAAAAACCACCTTCATGCCAATCATACAAAATTACTTGCATATTAGAAAGGTAATTTTTGGTCACTACAAGGTAAAAATCCTATTTGTCTATAGCTAACTATTTAGGATTTATTTGGACACCATTTTTTATACTATATTGAATAAACTTTATATGGCCAGAGTTATAATATTATCTAGTAAAATCTATAAGAAAATACTAAATATTCACTTGCTCAAACATAAGATTGACAACTGGTATTGTCTCCTTGTCATTTATGAATATTGCTACAACTTGACCACAGAGTTTATTTAATCTAATCATAAAAACAATATTTGGAAAATTTAGGCCATTGTGATGGCCAGTAGAATCTATTTCCAAAAAATCTGGATATTTAGTTAAAAGAACCAGTACAATAGTAGATACAACACCAAGAAGCACAGCTTGTTCTTTAGAATCTTGGATATCTATAACACTATATTGTTTTGATATAACAGTACCCTTGACTTTATAATTATCTATTAAAGAACAAACTTGTTAATCAAAATATAATTAAGTAAATAAGTAAAAAAAAAACAAACTAATTTTTACTTTCTCAAATTCTGATATACTTAAATAGTATGACTTTTTATTATATTTAAAAGCATTTTGAATTGACTCAAGATTAGGCGCAAATTGGGTGAATATTGGTTGAACTTGATTGGCTGGTATATTAAAAGTTGTATCAAGAATTTTTGAGTTGTTTATAAGTTCTAAAAACAAAATTATTAAATTAAATCAAGGGGTGTGGCGACATAGTGCAGTTGGCAAGTTGTCACCTTCCCAAATGGCAGATTTAGGGTTCAAATCCCACTGGCGACGATTTTGAAAATTAAGATTTGTTTCAGTAACAATTATTTGACGATCGGTTGGGTATATCACCTGTAGTTTTGGTATCATCATCTTGAATGGGAGCTTTCGGGCAAAGTATAAAGCCAAGGAACTGGAATAATTGAAACCTATTTGGCAAGTCCCGAGCAAGGAGGTAGTGAAGATCTTCGATGATACTGCAGAAACCGGAATCCCAGAAACCAGAGACCCAAGAACTGAACGCAATAACCCCAGGGCAAGAGGGGTTAACCAACCTGGCTGCCGGAGTCGTACCAGAGGAAAAGGTCCTATGTTATAGAATTAGAAACCAAAGAAAGGGAACCATAGGGCACCTAAAGCCTAGGTATACCAACCTATCCGGGCTAACTAGATTGGAAGTTTGGGAGGGATCGGTATAAGGACCAGAAGAAAGGTGAATGTAGGTATCGGGATTGAAATGAACCTTGTAAGGGCAGGGGAACCAGGAATTGTGCGGTTTAATGGTTAGCCCTGA